CTGGTCCTGCTGCTGGTCCTTCCGCTGGTCGTGCTGCTGATTGCTCTGTTGACCCTTCTGCTGGTCGTGCTGATCCTACTATTGTTTCTGCCGGGTCTTTTGCTGGTCCTTCTTCTGGTGCTTCTACTGGTCCTCCTCCTGGTCCTTCCGCAGGTCCGTCTGCCGGTCCCTCTGCTTATCCTTCTGCTGGTGCTCCTGATGGTCCTTCTGCTGGTCCTGCTGCTCCGTCTGCTAGTCCTCCTGCTGCTGCTTCGACTGGTGTTGGCCCTTTGGGTAGTCAATATGCTGGTAATCTTGCCAGTCAGTATGCGTTTGGAATTCAAAGCGGTCCTGACAAGCACTGGGACCCTTCACATGGGGCAGCTGATGTTGTTATGTCTCCGAGGACCAGTGGCATCTGTGACCCAGACATAGTAGTTCCTGCTGCCAAGCCAGCTGTGATTGAAGAAAGGATTCCACAGGATGGCAATTCTTGCTGCAATTACGATCTCGCTTGCTCGTCTGCAAGACCTGTTGCCCGGTTCAACCTCTCAGACAGCACACTGGAGGCTGTGGACACCCATATTAGTGATATTGAAGGGGATGGACGCCAGTCCAGTAAGCATCCGACGGTTGAGGATGTTGAGGATGCGGCTGCAGATCCCCCCAGCCGTAAGAGAGAAATGCGAAGTCACTCTGCAGGATCACTTGAACAGAATCCAGGGAGGGATTTGCTGAGCAAGGTCGTTTTTGATGTCGGACCTGCTTCTGATGCACGAGGAACCGACTGTTATGGTGATGGCAGCTTGGATGAAAGGGTTGAAGAACGTAGACGTCACAAGGAAGAACCAACTGGTCCTGGCACACCGTTAACAAAAAACCCGACTAGGAGTGAAGATCGCCAAGTGGGCTGGAAAGGAGGTGATGGATGTTGTGAGTCTCGTTCCTCCCGCATGCTTTCTCCTCCGAGTGAGCAACATGATCTGCCAGCGGGTCCTCTTTGTCAGAACATCGCGGACAGTGGTGCTGATCTGTTCTGTCCAGTAGTGACAAGCCAGTCCTTCATGTGTGACGCACAGGATAGAGGCTTGGCTTCCCCGTGTGTTGGATGTTTTCACACAGCCAGTGGTTGGAAACGACGGCAATGTGAAAGTGAAAAATCTGAGCAAGGATTCCCTGTCTTCCCGAAGTTACCAGAATATCTCCGAGGCCCATCTAGTTGGACTTGTGTTGGCGTTGCGAACCCATCCTCTTTGCAGCTTCAGCATGGAATACCGTCGTCTTCAGGGACGCAGGATGAAGATGACCGTCCTGCAAACCAACCCCTTGAAGCAGAAGACCAAAGAGAAGTATGCAGACGACGTTGGGAACAGCCTACTGTAGAGACGAGGAATTCGGAGGTAGGAGACGGAGGCCATGCCCATCTCTGGCGAGGTACGAGTGACCCGTCTGTTGAGGGAGAAGCTGAGCACAGGGATGACATCGTTCATGAAGTGGCAGTGGAGTCTTTGGATGCAGGAGACACAAAACATTGTGAAACAGGACGACCTCCACGAGACCCGACGCCCTTGCCTGAAGACGTCAGAAGACGCGCCAGTGATGGTCATTGCACCTTATCAAAGAAGAACAGCCCAACTAGTGAAGATGCTGAACAACATGCCTATTCTGGCAATTGTGCACCTATTCCCTTTGCGGGACCAGCTGAGCAGGGGGCAGATGTTTCTCCCGGTGCAGCAGTGGAGTCGTTAGGTGGAGGGAGGGAGGGAGGCAACGAGTCAGAACTGGCAGTGGGAGAAGCAGCACTGATTCCTGACCATCTGGCGATCCATTCCAAGGGGAAACCCGAAGACCATCTCCTCACTCCGGTTGGTCGACAAGAGGAGAGAAGACTCTGGGGAGAGCAAGCATCGGAGAAAAGGAACCTGGTGAACAATGAAGATGATGGTGGCATATCAAACGGTACAGGCGATGTCTTCTCTGAAAGAGAAGCTGATCAAGGGGTCGTTGGGCGCCCTGTCCCGGAGTCCGAATGTACCATCACGGCAGAGAAGACAGGAAAAGACGTGGATTCTACTCCAGGAGCATCAACACCGGCGCAGGATGGTTCAACATCGAGTCCGGGAAAAGGTTATCAGTGCATGATCTGCTTGCTGACGACCAAGGATGCCGAAGAGAAGGGGTTACTCCCATGTGGCCACGTGTTTTGCTTCAAATGTATATGCTGTTGGGCTAGAACTCTGGTAGGTTTCTCCTCAGCAAATGGTCTTCCCAGATGCATGTCTATCCAGCAACCAGACAAGTACATACGACACACACCTTTTCCCCCCGGGTTTCAAAACAGGTCCTTGTGGTACCGGTCCAAAACAGGTTTTTGTTATGATCCTGACCAATTTCGAGATACACATCCATCAGATAGTACAATGCCGTCCAATTGCAGAAAGAAATGAATGAACTTGGGAGGAGAGAGAGGATTAGAAGAAGAAGAAGAAATGAGAAAGAAGAAGAAGATGATGTATACCAACACAAACAAATGACAAGGCTCTTCTTCCTTGCCCAACAATCTCCTCCTCCTTATCTCCCCCTTCTCTTATTCATACAAGAAATAATAATACAATGTTGAATGGCTGATCCAGAATCAATGTTCGAGTTCCTCTTCTACTGCAGGTATCACTTGAGGTCCACCATAGCCATGGCCGCCTCTCTCACTCTTCACTCTCATAGGTCGAGGCTGTGGCGGACTACTAGGCCTTGCCCAGATGCCCAAAGGACAACCCAAAGCAGCTATGGCTGCTCTAGCTCAGGCCGCCATGCCCGACCCTGCCTCGAAGCTTCTTGGTGTGGCTCTCCCCAGTTGGGGACTCCCTGCTGCAGCGCCCACCAAGGTGATGAAGATGGCTGCCACCATAGCCAGGTAAGTACCCCTGGCGCTCCTCCCCTTTCCGTCCTTCTTCCTCCCTCGTGTCCTTCTCCTTCCTCCCCAGCAGCGCTGCTCCAGCATAGCGCTGCTCCAACCAGTGCTCCACCAGTGTGTCGCCAAACTTGCACACTGAAAAAGAGGCCGGGCTCTTCACCCGGCTGGGAGATATAGCAGCCTGCTTGCCTCTTCGGGCGGTGACTTCCAGGCCGCCCGGCCTTCCAAGCAACCGGTACCTCCTCCCTTTCGGACGGAAACATCATTGCAGACTCGTATAGGCCCTAGACCCAGACTGGTTGGACTGGTATCCACCTAGACCTAACCTACAACTACTGGGCCTCTATAAATGCCACTTTTGTCTTCTTCTGCTCGGCCTCCAGTACCCGCACATCTACCCCTTCAGGGTGCGGTACCAGCCTACCTGCTACTTGAGTGTTTTTCCTGCTGCAATCCCTCAATGTCACGGCCACAGGTAAGTACCGGCCCTGAGGGCCCAATGAACGAGCAAGTGCCCTTGCGGGCCACACACACACTCAAGCCAACCAGCACTCAGACAGGCACGGCCACACACACACTCAAGCCAACCAGCACTCAGACAGACATGCAGTCCAGCAAGCTTGCACACACAGACTTAGTAGCAAGCGGGAAACTCAGCAGGGCGTTCAGTCTATGGGCAAAACTCAGAAATCAGTTGTGTGTTTCAGTCCATGTTTGGACGGGTCATCACATTTTCGTGGTCCTGGTTCAAAACAGGTTCTTGGTTCCGGGGAGCATCAGTCCTGTTCCTTTCCTTTTCTTTTCTTTTTGGTCTGATTCAGGGTTGCATACCTGCCGACCGCCGACCCCGACCACCGACCGTATTGCAGCCGACCAGTACGGCCGACCGGTCGGCGGGCTGCCAACCAGTCAGAAAACAACTATCCACTGATTTTTTTTCAAATCTGAGTTCGGGGCTGTACTGCGCTTACGGAGTACAGCCCAAATCTGCTGAGAAACGTTTGGGGATGGGGCTTATGTTGGGGGGGGACTGTCTCTTATACACATCTAGATGTGTATAAGAGACAGGTGTAGGGGGTATTGGCGGGGGGTAATGAGGGTGTTGGGAGGGTGTATGAGGGTATTGGGGCCCGCTATGGGGGTGTTGGTGGGGTTATTAGGGGTTCTGGACCCTTTTTTTTTCTTTTTCTTGTTTTTGCGGGGTGCTGACGACCCCTGACCGGTCGGTTGGTAGGCAGCCGAGGGTGTTGGGGGGGTGTATGGGGGTATTGGGGCCCGCTATGGGGGTGTTGGTGGGGTTATTAGGGGTCCTGGACCTTTTTTTTTTCTTTTTCTTTTTTTTGCGGGGTGCCGACGACCCCTGACTGGTCGGTTGGTCGGCAGCCAACCAGTCGAGGGCTGCCGACCGTCGGGGTATGCAACACTGGTCTGATTGATTACTCCTTATCAAGGCCGATTGACTGTCAGATAACCTAGTCTGTCCTTCCTCCAAGTCCTCTGAATCTCCCTTCCTCCAAGTCCTCTTAGTCTCTGCATTGCCAAGACTATCAGATGGACTTGGAGAATTGCCGAAGGTCCTGGCTTGAAGTTACTTCGCTATTGTTGTCTTGGTTCTTATGAAGGTTGATGCGTGTGCCGAGCTGTCCAGTTCGGTGTAGCCGTCTGAGAGTTGTTATGCCCTCTTCCCTTGTGTATGTATGATGCCATTTCCTCAGAATAAGGCGGTTGTGATGCATCTCTGTCTTTTCCTCCCAGCAACCATCCGTTAGCAAAAAAGACTTCTCTTCTCCTTCGGAACTGTTCTGCTTTTTTCTGCGCCATGTGCTTTACGTCGGTCCATATCTCTATATCAACCATTTGATCAATTCGACTGAGTGGGACTGCACTGTTCCTTTGATTACTGCTTATAATTGATTTCAATTTCGACCAGTTGGGACTGCGCTGTTTCTTGGATTACCGTTTGTCCCCCGATTGTCTGTGAAAAGTGTGAACCCCTCTATCTGAATCCTCCGGAGTGTGGCTTTTCTGATTAGCTGGAATCATGTCTTTGTTTCGCCTCGCGGATTGTGGAGCAGGTGACGTACCCTGTTTTTCTTTTTTCGGATTCAAACTTGGGGTTCTGTATTTGAACAGTTGATGGGTGTACCAACGGAGCTAAGTTCGTTCGTGGGACATGCCCTTTTTGTTTTTTGTTTTCTTTCTTTGTTTTTGTGATTCTAAACCACCAAAATACCTCTGGGCCTCTTTTTCCTGTTTCAGATTTACACTGCGCAGAACACACCAAATAAAACCGAACTACCACGGGCACGTTCTCGAGTTCATTTTGGCTGGCACCCCCACCAACCATTTCGGTACCACATGAATGTGTTCATCCGGGAATCCCATGGTGCGATGATGTTGGTCAAATTCGTACGAAGTTTGCCTGGGGGAGGTACCGGTGGTTTTATGATTTCTACCAGCGGAAATAGACATCTTCCTATTCAGTGCCTTTTCTTTTTCTTTTCCCTGCGCAAGTTTGGACCGTTTCTCGTTTTATGCGTGTCATCCTTGGCGAAGAGCCCATGCCAATCTTCTCTGTATCGTTAAAATTTTAACGGATGGCCCGACGGACATTCAGGACCCTTTTTTTTTTTTTTTTTTTAAACCTGGCTCCTTCTATTCTGGGGAGCGTCAGTCCGGTTCCTATTCCACCGGCAAGTCAAAAACATTACAACAATTAACAATCACACACGCTTCCTTCCGTCAGGCCGAAGGACCCCTGAGCAGCATTGATTGCTCCACCACGGGAGGATTGACTGTCAGCTTGCCTTATCCCACTCTTTCCTCTCAGATCCGGAATCCAGATCTGTCAGATAAAGCACTAGACCCTAGAAAGATCCCACCTGTTGGCCTTACCCCACCTGGTTCTTCCCAAAAGTCACTTCGCCCCCCCTTTAGACGGTCAACCGTTGTCAATGAAACCTACACCCTCAGTCTGCAATCTTATCGTCAAAACGACACAATTAGGTCTTGACAGGCGTTAGTAAGCTTCTGGATGTCTGAGATGGGATCCTCCTTGGCGACCCCTGTACATGCTCCAGCGTTGTCAGACTTGTCCTCCTTTTCCACGTCGTGTACCCCCTGGGTCATGTTTAACCTTCTGCAGCCTAAGGGGTGCTTATTGATTCCAGCGACGTCTGATGTTGGGGACCCCTTCCTGGATTTGAATTATGCCATTCTTTCCAACATACGCGGTCCTGTCGCAGTTCTCCAATCTTGCCATCAACCAGCCAGATCCAGGACCCTTTTTCTGGTTAAATGTTTGTGAGAAATTTAGTCTTTTCGACCCTTCTCACTTTGTCTTCGATTTAAAAATCAGCAGCAAATGAGTAGAAACGTGGAAAGACTTTGATGATTCACCGCATGCAGTCATGAGACCTCCAAAATTTTCAAGTAACTTTTTTGACACCAATCAAGTTCATTCCAGAATTCAATTCGTGTCTGGAATTGGGTGTGTAAGCGACTGCAGTGATAGTAGCTGTTATTATCCACAAGCGCAGTGCCTGCTCTATTCTGATTACCACAGGTACTCTCTGTGCAGTGAAAAAGGTGATCTCAGCAGAGGTAACAGCAACTGCCATGCACAGTGAAAAAGGCGACCTCAGCAAAGGTAAAGTCAGGTGCCCAAAAAACTGCCTAGCACATTTTTTTTCTTTTCTTTTTTGTGCAGTATAAAGGGTGAGCAGCGATAAAGTCCGGTGCAGTAAAAGCTGTTAATGGTAAGCGGGAAGGACAAACCCCGGTGCAGTGATAAGGAAGCTAAAGCCAGGGTTAGCCAAAATTTTTAGCAAGCAAAATATAGCTGCAGTAAAAGCGAGGTAAAGAAACCTGGTTCCTCAACTGTACGTGGTTTTCCCTATTGCTTGCGTGATCTACAGTTGAGGAACCAGGTTTCTTTACCTGGCTTTTACAAGTTTTACTGCAGCTATATTTTGCTTGCTAAAAAAAAAATCCATTCCGAAGTAAAACCAGGTAAAACCAGGGGAAACCAGGTAAAACCAGGTAAAACTGGGTAAACCAGGTGAAACTAGGTAAACCAGGGGAAGCGAGTTAAAAGCAGGTAAAAGCAGGTAAAAGCAGGGAAAGCTTGGTAGCATTCATTCTGAGCCAGGATGAAACTCTTTTCATTTTTAATTATTATTATTATGGTGGCTTCATTTCTGGAATGTAGGATTTGAACTGAGGCAAAAGTTAGCGAGGGGTGAAGTGAGGTAAAACCGTAAAACATTACCAGCTAAGGCATGATACCGTTAGAAATCAGGCAAGTCATACTGGAGCAGAGCGCCAGTGTTTTTATTTCATAACTTTTTCCGAAGAGAAGACCGTCTTCTCATGGTGCAAGGAAGGAGATTGAGAGTTGCACATGTATTTGACTGCGGATTGTGTGTTGAAGAGATCAATGGGTCATTCATTTTAATTGGATATGAAGAGATCATTTTTCGATGCCATCGCAATGAACTCTGGTGGTGTGTACATTTATTAAATTACTAGTTGTAATTTGTCTTCTTGGTTCTGTGCAGGTCAATCCTTTTTGCCCGATATGCAGATCATTGTTCAATATCATCACAAAGAGACGCCTGCGTCCCGAAGACGAGGCGGTTATACCGTTGCCGAAGCGCAAGAAGCTCGAGTTTGGCTCATCTTCGCATAATATGAATGCGGTCAACATCCTCAACGATGTGAGTTTCTCGTCGTTTTTTCCTTTGGTTTCTCTTTCCTCTTATGTTTTACCAAGCTGCAAATGCTCATCCATTTTCCATGCTGCCGCCGCCTGCATCTCTACTGACTGTTGTCATTGGTTCGCCCCCTCTCCGATGAAACTTCTGTTGACTTCCTGTTTCGCGGAAAGTCCTTCCTCAAATGTCGGAGGAGCTGAATCATCGCCAACCTGTCATCGCCGACGGGCTCCGTGCTACGCTGCTAAGCGTTTGAGGCTTGGTGTTCACAGTCAGCGCCGGTGCACATCCGTGTGATGGGTTGGAGCTGAAATCTCCACAGCCGTGTGCAATGACTTGCTGGTTTTGGTTGCCTGTAGCCTCTCTCGTTGAGGCTGTACTATAGGTAGGATAAATTCGTAATTTTGTTTGGCTGAGGGCTAACCGACAGACCTGCCTGTAGGGAAAATCCGAGAGGGACATATCTGCAAATTCGGGAAAATATAGGTCCGTACTCACTAACAGTACCTACAGCTACCTTAACTGCGAATAGCAGGCCCGGACTACCCCTAGGACAGACAGGCCCTAAGGGCCTAAGCTGATAGATGGTCCTATAGCCTATAGCCGGGTAGGTAGAGGCCGAGAGGCCGAAACTGAAACGGTACCGGTCGGTCCAGTCAGTCCGGTCTAGGTCGTGTCTAGGCTAGTGTAGGTTATAGGTAGGATGGGTACATCGGTTCAGGGCTTCTGGCAGTTGGTACTGTGTACATGGCTGCTGTGCAACGCATGAACTGGAGTGGTGACAGCTTCAGCGTTGGAGGAGACATACATAGCCGGATCTGCGGAGCGCTGACCATAGCTGGGACCTGCGCTGTATTCTGACAGCATGCGGGGCTGTACAGAGGTTCGGGCTATTCGAAGTCTGCTGGAGGCGAGAGAAGTGGTGCCCTGCTGGACCCTCCTCTGGAGTAGGGTTACAGGGTGTGTGGTGCTGCAGCCATAGCTGCAGCTTCGTCCTCAGAGATCATCTTGTCAGGAGAGGTGACGCTGCTTCAGACTTCCACCCGGGAAGTCAATCGGCACTTCATCATCATCAGGCACTGTGGCGCTGGTCTTCTTCTTCATCCTCTGGGTGGCGCCTGTCCTCAGAGGCCTGTTTCAGGGTGGCGCTTCCCTCTGGAGGCAGTATCTGGGTGGCGCTTGATGTTTCAGGGACTCAGGGGTAGTTCTTGCGGTTACTCAGGGTTGGGGAGTGAAGCGCTGCTCAATTCTGAGCAGCGCACCATAGTTCTGGGGGTTTCCTGACAATTCGAGACTCTGAGTTTAATAAACAGTGTGTAAACTGTGTGCAGACTATCTTTGCTTCATTGTTTCCTGGATGTGACAATTAGACTTTTTTTTTTTTTTTTTTTTTAAGACCCCAAACAGGAAACCAAAGCCTTAGAAGTTAAAACTGTTAAATGGATAGTCAAACTACTGATTAAACCCGGTACGACATGGAATAAACTGGCCTTGGATAACATTAGGGGCCTAGCACCTACAGCCACACCAACAAATATGCCCGGTCTGTTCTGGGTAACGACCAAGGAACGGAGGCCACGTATAGGGCGCAGAAATCAACGAAGAGGAACCGGTCCAAACGAAGCCAGGCCCCCTGCACCATATTGGACTGCGTTGCTACGGATATGGCGGGAAGTCATGCCGAAGAAGGTGGGTAGACCCAAATCCAAAGACGAGGTACTGAGGCAACCCCTGTTTGGTAATCCGTGGGTGAGAGACCAAAGTGATCACCAACTATCCCTTAATCCTAGAGGAAGGAGATGACTATCGTGGATCAAACATGGAGTTTGGAACTGGTCAAGTCTACTCGGCTTTCCTTTGTGACTGGTTGTGAGGATTCTGTGGAGTGAGGGCACTTGCAGTGTTCTCTGTCATATCACATGGTCAAGTCTTCCGCTGTGTTTCTCTCTCCCTGTGCGGCGTGATAGTCCCTTCCTCTCCGCTTCCTTTCTGTGTATGTATGGGCATACCTGGAAGTCTATGTGTGTGAGTGTTGGTCTTTTGACAACAAGCAACCAGGTTCATAACACGTGTATCAACCCATTGACAAATTGAACAAGTTGAGACCGTGAAGCTTGATCCCTTACCTCGTGCAGCTCAGCGGATCCGTTTGCACTTAATAATAATCTTTCCTTGCTTAGGGCTTTGCTCAACTACTCACCAAATGTGCAAAATGAGAACGAGTCTTCCGCTAGAATATGGGAAGATATGCAGCCATATCTTTCCGTCTTTTGTGCATCTGGCGAGCAGTGGAGTGTTTTATTCCCACTTAATAAAAAATTGTGCCTCACTGGTGGAAAGAGGAACCGCACGGACGCTCCCAAGAATAGAAAGAAGCGAGGAACGACCATAAGGGGACTGTTCAAGGGCGGGTGGGTAAAATAAATACTAGATAGAACTCTTTCGCTCTCTGAATTTCCTACGGCGACCTTTTTCTGTCGTTTGGACTGTTTCGGAGTCTTTCCTTTGAGTTGTTCAATCCTTCAATCCTTTCTTTTTTGTGTGTGTGAGGCAGAGCTAAGAATGAAATGCCTTGGGTATCTACTATCTAGGCATTCCTTCCAATGCTGCTCCTTGTCACCATAAACCTGAACAGAGAAGCAAAACACTGAAAATGTCAAACAGGCAGTAAGGTTTTTCTTTCCTCCCGCCCCTCCCCTTGGAACGGTGTTAACGGACACATGAGTTGTTTTGCCCCCGGAACGGTGTTGACTGACATATCTGTTATTTGCTCTGCTGTCACACGCCGTGGCATGTTGTTCTGTGTGCAAGGAGGGGGGCGATACGTTGCCCTTACTTACATGCAGCATTTGCCGTGTGGCGGTCCACACACGGACACATGAGTTGTTTTGCCTCCGGAACAGTGTTGACTGACATATCTGTTATTTGCTCTGCTGTCACAGGCCGTGGCATGTTGTTCTGTGTGCAAGGAGGGGGACGATACGTTGCCCTTACTTACATGCAGCATTTGCCGTGTGGCGGTCCACACAACCTGCTTGGAACAGGATCTTCCTGCAGCAACATCTAGAGCTAGCTGTAACTGGGTCTGTGATCGTTGTGGCCAGCAGCGAAGGTGTGTTTTTCTTTTTCGTTCGCCTGCATATCCGCCTTTCATTTCCGGAACGAGTTCAAAGACCGACCGGACCCACCTGCCTGGGGTACCTGCGCGAGTAATTTTGGGTGTCTTTTTTTCGTTTTTGTCAGCAACTGGTGGGGCATCTCTGCACCCTTCAAGTACTGCTGAAATCTGCTGTCTTCTTTTTTTTGGACTTTGTGGCATTCACCTGCATATCTGCCTTTCATTTCCGGAGCGAGTTCAAAGACCGACCGGACCCACCTGCCTGGGGTACCTGCGCGGGTAATTTTGGGTGTCTTTTTTCTTTATTTCTCAGCAACTGGGGGGGCATCTCTGCGCCCTCCAAGTACTGCTGAAATCTGCTGTCTTCTTTTTTTTGGACTTTGTGGCGAAAAGGGGGGGAGGCTGGTGCAGCAGGGTTTTGGGAGGACAGCCTGCAGACAGCAGGCACACTGCAAGCCAGCCTGGTAAGGGAGGGAGAAAAAGCCAGGGGCCAAAGACGCACGGAAGGTGAGGGGTGAGTGAGGTGTGCGGAAGATGAGGGGAAAGAGTGGGACGGGGGGGGGGGGGGGGGGGGGGGGGGGGGGGGGGGGGGGGGGGGGGGGGGCGACAAGGTAGGGGATGGGGGGGAAGTAGGGGAAAGCGCACGGAAGGTGAGGGGCGAAAGGAGGGGGAAAGGCGCATGGAAGGTGAGGGGGGATATGAGGGGATGGCGAGCTGAAGGTGAGGGGCAAAAGGAGGGGGGAAGTCATGTGGAAGGTGGGGGGACATGTGAGTGGAGGGACATGGGGAAAGATAGGGCAATCGGGAAGGGAGGAGAGGGCGGAGAGGGCGGAGAGGCGCAGAAGCAGGGGGAAAGACATGGCAGGAGGGGGAAAGGTGCGGAGGAGGTTAGCAGGGAGTGTGGGAGGGCGTGGATTAGTGTCGTGGCACCGGCCCCTCTGTCTCCGCATGCACACACAAGAGCCTTATAAGAAGAAGTAACAAAATTTTAACTGGAGGAAGAAGCGAAAAAGAATCATAGAGGAGGTACAACAACAAAATTGAAACGAGGAAGAACAGAGTCACAAAAGAAGATGAAGAAAAGGAAAAAGAGAAAGCAGAAGGCGAATCGAAGAAGAGTCCAACAACAACTTTAAAGAAGGAAAATTGAAGGAGTATGAAGAAGAAAAAATTGAAAATTGAAAAAGAAGAAGTTGAAGAACAGGAACCAAAGAAGAAGAAGAAGAAGAAGAAGAAGAAGAAGAAGAAGAAGAAGAAGTGCTGGGCAGTGTCATGCAGGCAGGTTCTGGCAATGGGGCAGGCGACAGGGCGATGGTAAAGATGGCGGTGGGCAGGCTACAGGGTGATGGTGAAGACAGTGACAGCAGACTTCCCCAATGATAAGCAGACGCCCAGGGTAATGCTGAGCCTTTCCAATTCGAGTGCCTGGGCGGGCTCATCACTGACTATCTGGGCTGTTGATCTTTTGATCAGCAGCCCAATTTTCCCCAAAAAGAAACGAAGGCCTACTGGCATTGACATTTCTTTTTGGTGCACCAGGGGTCTCCTGTGACACTCTGGAGGCCCTCTGGGAGGATTGGCCCTTCGACCAATTTCCTTCCGGGCGGGCCGCCTGGCCGGACCATCCTGGCGAGCGCCATGCTGGGTCAATCCTGCCAGTCAATCCTGCCCGAACCGCCCGTCCGATAGCCTAGCTCTTTCTCCTTTTTTTGTCTTTTTTCAAGGTCTGCCTTCTTGTGCATTTTTGCACTTTTTCCCTTTGTATGCCTTTTTTTTTTTTTCCTTTTTTAAATTGAAACTTTAAAGTGTAATCTGCTGGTGGGGAGCAACATCCATTGGGAAACAGGCCTCACGCCCAATGTTCAAGAACAAGGTTTGAAATATGGAAACCGCCAGAGGGCGGGAGGCTAAGGAACGCTGGCCGAACCCTCCCTCCAGGGACAGCCCCCTCTTCAACAGGATGACCAAGTTCAAGTAATCATCCCCCCTACAAGCCCACCAGATCTCATTCTTCGGAAAACTCCCAGAAATACGCCGATAACGTGTTCATGAAATCAAAAAAAAAAAAACCTCTCCAACCCTACGCCCCCCCAGCAATACACTCATAATGTCCCCACCTCGATACGCTGTGAAACGACAAGCATCAAACTCTAAACAACAATACAAAGCTCACATCTAGGATGCTTATGAACAGACGGAATCACCAACCAATCTAGATTACAAACCCTAACGGACGGAATCACCAACCAATCTAGAGTAAAAAAAAACTAAGCAACAAAATGTTATAAATCGCGAAACAACGCTACGTCTTGCCAGCAGAAAGGTTGACACCCGATTGTTCTTCCCAAACGCAGCATACAATTTTCATCATACTGCGTCTCTCTAACGAATGCAGTAGACACAATAATAAAATATTCATTTCTATTTTATTGCATTTCCGCCACACTTCTATAGTAATCTATACCATACTTGCAAGCAGACGGACCGGACGAGCATCCGGTCTGGTCCGCTTTGCCGCGTGCGGCACCCTCCCCCCGGACCGGACCGGACGGGGCCTTTTTTTTTTACTTTTGGGGGTGGGGTGGAACTGGTCGTCGGGCGCACATTCGTGCGCCACGCAGGTCCGGTCCGGCGGTCTGCAGCACGTGCGGAACCCCCCGGACGGCGTCCGCTTGCAAGTATGATACTATGATCTATACATTCTGAGAGCCTTCATGTTTATTGCATTTCCGCCATACTTCTTCTCCTTCTTCTTCTTCTTCTTTTTTTTTTTTTTTT